GGGACCCCAGACCTCGCTTAGGGACACCCCTCACCTCTCCAGACCCCCCTGGGACCCTCGAACCCTCTTTAGGGACCCCCTCTACCCCCACACCACACTCAGTGACCCCCAGACCCATTTAGGGACCCCAGAACCATTTAACTGGGGGTTGGGGTTTGGGGGATCCTGGATTGAGGATCCGGGATTTGGGGGTTCGAGGGGTTTTGGGGGTCCTGGCACTCCGGGGTCTGGGGTTTGAGGGGTCCTGGATTTGGGATCCAGGTTTTGGGGGGTCCTGGCACCCTGGGTCAGGGGTTTTGGGGGATCCTAGATTGGCAGTTCGGGCTTTGGGGGATCCTGGATTTGGAATGTGGGGTTGGGGGGTCATGGCACTTCGGGTCTGGGGTTTTGGGGGGTCATGGATTGAGGCTCCGGGATTTGGGGGTCCTGGATTGGGGATCTGGGGTTTGGGGGGCCCTGGATTGGGGATTCAGGGTTTGGGGGGTGCTGGATTTGGGATCTGGGGTGTGGGGGGCCCTGGCACTTCGACTCTGGGGTTTTGGGGTGTCCTGGCACTCTGGGTCTGGGGGTTTGGGGGTTTCTGGGCTGGGAATCTCTGATTTGGGGGTCTTGGGCTGGAGGTGGTTCTGGTGCTGGGGAGGGTCTCTGGTTTTGGGGTTCCAGGGCTGAGGAACCCCAGCTCGGGGGTCTCTGGTTTTGGGGTTTCTGGTTCTGGGGGTGTCCCTGGTGCATTAGACCCGGGGGGGCTCTGGGGTGTCCCTCTGTTGTGGGGGGGGTCGCTGGCTCGGGGGGTCTTTGGGCCCGGGGGCACCTCGGGAGCCTCTGGCTTTAGGGGGTTCCCGGAGGGGTCTCCGGCTCTGGAGTCTCTCTCCCGGGGTCCGTCTCCCGGGGGTCTTTCGGGTCCCTGTCCCGTGGGTCCCTCTCCCGGGTCCCTGTCCTGGGTCTCTGTCCCGGGTCCCTGTCTCGGGTCCTTCTCCCGAGGGTCTCTGTCCCAGGTTCCTCTCCCGGGGGTCTCAGGGGTCCCTCTCCCGGGGTCCCTGTCCCTTGTGCCTCTCCCGGGGGTCCCTCTCCCCGTACCTCTCCCTGTCCCTCTCCCTGTCCCCTCTCCCTGTCCCTGTCCTGGGGGTCCCTCTCCCCGTCCCCTCTCCCTGTCCCCGTCCCTGTCCCGGGTCCGTGAAGGGGGGGGGAATGGAGAGGTTGGGGCAGGGAACGGCGGTGACCGCCCTGAGGGGACCATGAGGAATTTGGGGGGGCGCGGGATAGATTTTGGGGTGTAGGAGAGGAGAAGCAGCGCTGAGGGGGGCAGGACGTTATTGGGATCCTGTTGGGACCCCCAGAGGGGAGGCAGTGGGATCTGGGGGGAAAGGCAGAGCAGGGGAATTTCAGGGGGGTGCCGAGGTTTGGGGAGCAAGGTGGGGGATGTTCAAGGACATTTTGGGGTGCTGCAGAGCAGGGGGGGAGACTGTGAGGGTTTGGGGGGGCTGAGCACCCTGTAGAGGGGCATTGCCCCCACAGCTACCCTGAAGCCCTCCTTTGGTAGTTTTGGGGTGGGGGTGAGCTGCACAGGGGTGGGGGACACGGGGGGTCCTCACTTTTGGGGGGAGGAAGGGGGTGGGGCTGGGTTGTCCTGTGTCCCCCCAAACCTGTCCTCAGCCCCTCCATCCGTGGCCATCCCAGGGTGACTCTTGTTCCTCAGCCCCTGCACCCCCCATGGGCCCCCCAAAGGAACAGTGGGGGCACAGCACTGCCCCCATCCCATCCCACTGATCCCACTGATCCCACTGATCCCATCCCACTGATCCTATTGATCCCATCCCATCAATCCCATTGATCCCATTGATCCCATCCCACTGATCCCACTGATCCCACTGATCCTATTGATCCCATCCCATTGATGCCATCCCTGATTGATCCTGTTGATCCTATGATCCCATCCCATTGATCCCATTGATCGCATCCCATCAATCCTATCCCATTGTGTCCCCTGATGACATTGATCCCATTGATCCCATCCCATTGATCCCATCCCATCGATCCCATCCCATCGATCCCATCAATCCCATTGATCCCATTGATCCCATCCCATCGATCCCATCCATCCCATCCATCCCATGGATCCCATCCCATGGATCCCATGGATCCCACCGATCCCATCGATCCCACTGATTCCATCCCATCGATCCCATCCCATCTATCCCATCGATCCCATCGATCCCATTGATCTCATCCCATTGATCCCATCAATCCCATTGATCCCATCCCATTGATCCCATCAATCCCATCGATCCCATCCCATCGATCCCATCAATCCCATTGATCCCATCGATCCCATCCCATCGATCCCATTGATCCCATCAATCCCATTGATCCCATCAATGCCATCGATCCCATCCCATCGATCCCATCAATCCCATTGATCCCATTGATCCCATCCCATCGATCCCATGGATCCCATCAATCCCACCGATCCCATCGATCCTATTGATTCCATCCCATCGATCCCATCCCATCGATCCCATCGATCCCATCGATTCCATCGATCCCATTGATCCCATCGATCCCATCCATCCCATGGATCCCATCCATCCCATGGATCCCATCGATCCCATCCCATCGATCCCATCCCATCGATCCCATCCCATCAATCCCATCCATCCCATGGATCCCATGGATCCCACCGATTCCATCGATCCCATCCCATCGATCCCATCCATCCCATGGATCCCATCCATCCCATGGATCCCATCCATCCCATGGATCCCACCGATTCCATCGATCCCATCCATGGATCCCATGGATCCCATGGATCCCATCCCACCCCATGGATGCAGGTCCAGGGGTTCCCGTGCCCCCAGCCCCCGTGCTGCCCCTCCAGGCTGCCCTGTGCCCTCGGGGGCACCTCAGGCCGTGGCATCGCTCTCCGGCTCTGCTCCGGGGCACCAAACCCTGCTCTGGCCTTGGCAGGAGATTCTAATCCCGGGAATAAAAATTCCTGGGAAGCCACTGCAGGCTGATCCCAGCAGGGTTCAGAAATGCTGCAGCTCTGATTTGGGGTCGGGATTCTGCCCCCAAACCCCCCCGTGAGGGTGGGGAGGAAATCCAGGATTGAGGAATTCCACCTCGGCCCCGTGGGCCAGAGCCGCGTGCTGCTCCCTGCGCCTTGGGGAAAACAGCAAAACCAGGGAAAGGTTCCTTTTTAGAGCTGCAAAAAGGAGTTAAACGGGCAGGAAACCTGTGGGCAGCTGCTTTGGGGTTCTCCTGCCCCTCCACAGGGCATTTCACCTCTGATGGAGTGACATCATTATTATTATTATTATTATTATTATTATTATTATTATTATTACTATTATTATTATTATCATTACTATAATAATTATCATTATCATTATTCTTGTATGTGTTTATTATTATAATTATCATTATCATCATTGTTATTATTATTTGTTTTACTATTATTATTATTATCATCATCATCATTACTATGATTTGGTTTAATTATTATTTATTATTGTTTCTTATTATTATTATAGAATAATAATAATAATTATTATTATTATGGTTTATTATTATTATTAGGGTTTATTATTATTTGTTTAGTATTATAATTATTATTATCATCATTATTGTTATTATGGGGTTTTTTCCTATTATTATTATTATCGTCATCATTGTCATCATTATTACATTTTGGTTTTATTGTGGTTTATTATCTTTATAATTATTATTGTCATAGTAATAATAATGAAATAATAATAATAATAAAATAATAATAATAATAATAACATGAAAGTTTAATATTAATATTAATATTAATATTAATATTAATTTTAATATTAATATTAATATTAATATTAATATTAATATTAATATTATTACTATTCCCTAGATTTTGGGGGGTCAGGGTGCTGGCATCCCATGGCCACACACCTCGCTGGACAATTTTCCTGAATTATGTCACCCCCCTCCTCCCCCAACCTCCCCTTTTTCTGGGCTGCCCCTTTTGCCCGGCTTTGGAATATTTTGGGGCAATAAATGAGTTTTCCCCGATTTTTCTTTGGAATTGGCTGCCCCAGCCCCCACATGGGGCTTTCCAGGTGGGAACCTTGTGGATTTGAGGTGTTTTGGGGGCGACATCTCATCCCCTGCCTCAGTTTCTCCGTCTGTGAATGCCATAAAACACTAAAAGACATCAAATTTAGAGGGAAGGAAGGATTTGGGGGGAATTGTTTTTTGTGTTAAACCCTGCTGAGGTTTAACTCATCATTGGGGTTTCTCACCTGGGCAAACTCCATTTTCACCCATTTTTGACCCATCTCTGCCTCATCAACACTTAATTAAAGTGGAAATTAAATCTTCATGGGGACTGAGAGCATCCTAAATATCCTTCTCTCACCTTTCCCCCCTCTTTCTTTAATTTTTAACATTTTTATTATTATTTTATGCATTTTAAGCCTTCCCTCCATCTGTTGCTCCTCCCTGCCTGCCCTCACCACCATCTGCATATATCATTTGTCACATTAAATGCCAAAAAATACCCCAAAAAAAGTGTGAAAATCGGGATCTGTGATAGGGAAGGGATCTGGAGCTGGATGCCCACCTGCATCCAGCCTGGAATCACAAACGTCTGATTAATTGGCTCGTTAATTAGTCTTCCCTCCCGGGTTATTTGTGTCTCCTCCCAGCAGCAGCAGGGAGAGAATTCCAAGGATTTTTGGGATCCTGTGCCCTGCTCAGCCTTTTGCTGCTCCAGTGGAGCTGGAATAAATCCAGTTTGGCTGCCTGGCTGGGCTGGGGATGGGTCGTGGGGACGTTCTGGTGTCCCCAGAGTCCCACAGAACCCCCCACATCCATGGACTTGCTGTTTCTCCTGAGCTGCCTTTTCCCCAAACTCCTCCATCTTCGGGGGGGGATCCTGGGGCTCCCAGGTTTTTGGGGAGCACGGGAGCAGCCAGAGCTCGGCACGAGAACATCTCCAATGTTTTGTGTCCCTCCAGGCCAAATCCAGGGACCCCAAATCTCGGAGGAGCCCAGGGAGCTGGAGCCCCAAAACCAGGAGGGGCAGAATCCTGGAGAAGCTGAGCCCAGAGACCCCAAAACCAGGAGAGCCAGAGCACAGACACCCCAAATCCTGCAGAGCCAGAGACCCCAACACCAGAGAGCCGGAGCCCAGAGACCCCAAAACGCGGAGAGCCAGAGCCCAGAGACCCCAAAACCAGGGAGCTGGAGCCTAGAGACCCCAAAATCTGGAGAGCCAGAGACCACAAAACTTGTACAGCCGGAGCCGAGATACCCCAAAACCTGGAGAGTTGAAGCACAGAGACCCCAATACCAGAGAGCCAGAGACCCCAATACCAGAGAATCGGAGCACAGGCACCCCAAAACCCGGAGAGCTGGAGCCTAGAGACCCCAAAACCCAGAGAGACGGAGCTCAGAGACCCCAAAACCCAGAGAGTGGGAGCCCAGAGACCCCAAATCCTGCAGAGCCAGAGCCCAGAGACCCCAAAACCAGAGACCAGACACCCCAAAACGCAGAGAGCCGGAGCCCGGAGTTCCTGGGAGCTGCAGCCAGGACAGCAGAGCCAGAGCCCTGAGGCCTGGGAGCCCTGAAACGCAGAGACCCCGGGAGCCCCCAGCCCACCCCGGGGGGCAGGACCCCCAAAACCCAGCCCCGTGTGCAGCCGGGAGGGTCCCTCACCCCAGAAGGAGCAGTGGGTGAGTGCTGGGACCCCCAGAACCCATGGTGTTCCCTTCCTTTCCCCCTCCCATTCCCCCTTGGCCCTTCCCTGTCTGAAGGAGTGGGGGCAGGGAGGGGGTGCTCCCACCTGGGACAGGTAGGAGCAGGAGCTTTCCCAACTTTTCCAGCCTCGGGTGGAGGAAGAAGCTGCCACAGGACTTTGGGGTGTTCCCCCAGATCCCTGGCAGCTCTCTGGGGCAGGTGAACTCACCTGGGGGATGAGTGCAGAGCCCTCCCCCTCCCTGTGACTCCTGTCACCTGCTGAAGGAAGTGTCCCCAACAGTTTGGGTCCCCTCAGGGACCACCAGGGGCTTGGGAGGGCAGCCAGGTGTCACCTGGAGATTTGGGGACCCTCTGTGGGCTCCAGAGAGGTGCTTCCACCTGGCCCATCCCTGGCTTTTAGGGTTTCGTAGGGGAGAGGGGCTGAGAGGAGCCCCAGACACCGAATCCCACCAGGACCCCCAAGGCCCCTTGGTGACAGCCCCTCCTTGTCCCCTCCTGCAGCATGTGGCAGGTGTGACCCTCCCCACCTGTGCCAGGTCACCATGGAGCCGTGCCCGGGGCAGCCCCAGGAGGCCCTGCTGACGGTCAACGAGCAGGTACGGCCCCCCCAAACCGCGCCCGGGCTGGGGAGGGACCCCAAACCCGGGCGGGGGAGGGACCCCAAACCCGACCTGGGGAGGGACCCCAAAACCGGGCGGGGGAGGGACCCCGACCCCAAACCCGACCTGGGGAGGGACCCCAAAACCGGCCTGGGGAGGGACCCCAAAACCGGCCTGGGGAGGGACCCCAAAACCAGGCTGGGGGTGGGACACCTCCTGTGTGCCCTGGGATGGGCTGGAACACCTGCAGGAGATTTGGGGGGCTCACCTGGCCCTGCAGCACACCCGTGGGGCTGGAGGGGACCCTCTGCAGGTGTGGGGCGCTCTTTTGGGGTGCTGATAGTTTGGGGTGCTGTGGGTGTGGGGCTGATGCAGGTGGGGGTACCCGCTGTGTTTTGGGGTGCTGAGGTGTGGGGTGCCGGCTCGATGGGTTCATACAGGCTCAGGTGGAACAGCCAGGTTTAATTAATCGTTAATTAATCCCCCCTGAGGGGGAGTTTTACCCCCTCTGATGTAACACCGGGGTCACCCCCAGTCCTGGGGACAGGGCCCAGAAATGAGTCTGGGGGCACTTCGGGGGCTCTGCTGGTTCTGGCCCTGCTGGGACCCCAAATGAGGGGCTGGGCCAGTGGGAACATCCCTGGGACTGGGAATGTCCTTTGGGACTGGGAATGTCCTTGGGACTGGGGATGTCCTTTGGGACTGGGAATGTCCTCAGGACTGGGAATGTCCTGTGGGACTGGGAATGTCCTGTGGGACTGGGAATGTCCTGTGGGACTGGGAATGTCCTGTGGGACTTTGTCCCTCCTTGAACCCCTTTCCTCTTCCCTCACCCTGTTTCCCATTTATGGCCCCATTTATGGCCCTCAGGACATCATTTACCATTTCAGAACCCCATTTTCCCTTCTAGGGGCACATTTACTCTTCAGGCCCCCCATTTACCCTTCCAGGACCCCATTTTTCCCCTGGGGATCCTCTTTCTCTTCCAGGACCCCATTAACCCTTCAGGGCCACACTCAGGAATGGGAATGGCCCAACACCTCCGGACTGGGCATGGGGGAGTTTTGCTGTTGTGAAAGGCAGGACCTGCCTGATCAGAACCCCAATCTCTGGGGATCAGAACCCCAATTCCCAGGGGTCAGAACCCCAATCTCTGGGGATCAGAACCCCAATTCCCAGAAGTCAGAACCCCAGTCTCTGGGGATCAGAACCCAAATCAATCCCCGGGGATGAGAACCTCAATTTCTGGGGATGAGAACCCCAGTCAATCCCCAGGGATCAAAACCCCAATCAATCTCTGGGGGTCAGAACCCCACAATCAATCCCCAAGAAGCAGAACCCGAATCAATCCCCAGGGATCAGAACCCCAGTCATTCCCTGAGGATCAGAATCCCAGTTCCCAGGGATCAGAACCTCAGTTATTCCCTAGGGATCAGAACCCCAGTCAATCCCCAGGGATCAAAACCCCAATCAATCTCTGGGGGTCAGAACCCCACAATCAATCCCCAAGAAGCAGAACCCGAATCAATCCCCAGGGTTCAGAACTCCAATTCCCAGGGATCAGTACCCAAATCAATTTCTGGGGATCAGAACCCCCAGTCAATCCCTGGGGATCAGAACCCCAGTTCCCAGGGATCAGAACCTCAGTTATTCCCTAGGGATCAGAACCCCAGTTCCCACAGATCAGAACCCAAATCAATCCCTGAGGATCAGAACCCCAATTCCCAGGGATCAGAACCCCAATTCCCAGGGATCAGTACCCCAGTTATTCCCTAGGGATCAGAACCCCAGTTCCCACAGATCAGAACCCAAATCAATCCCTGGGGATCAGAACCTCAATTCCCAGGGATCAGAACCCCAGTTCCCACAGATCAGAACCCAAATCAATCCCAGGGGACCAGAACCCCAATTCCCACAGGTCAGAACCCAAATCAATCCCCGGGGATCAGAAACCCAATTCCCACAGATCAGAACCCAAATCAATCCCCGGGGATCAGAACCCCAATTCCCAGGGATCAGAACCCCAGTCAATCCCTGAGGATCAGAACCCCAATTCCCAGGGATCAGAACCTCAGTTCCCACAGGTCAGAACCCAAATCAATCCCAGGGGATCAGAACCCCAATCCCACCCCCACGGGCTGCTCCTCACGGCCTCTCCTCCCCGCCTGGGCAGGGGGTGAGAACCATGAACCCTGAGCCATGAACCCTGAGCATTCCCCACTGTCCCCCTCAAAACAGCCAAATCTTCCTGACTGGGGCTGATTTTCACTGAGGGGAGAGGAGGGGAGGGAGGAAAGAGGATGGGAGCTGCCCCAGAGCTGCAGCCGGCTTTAAAAACACCAAACCAGGGAGCAGTGTGTGAAAAACACGGTCACTGTCCTGTGAACGTGCAAAAAGTTTAATAAAGGACAGTAGGAGACAAGGAGCACAGAGCAAAGGTGTGAAAACCATGGTCACTGTCCTGTGAAAATGTGAAAAGTTTAATAAAGGACAATAGGAGACAAGGGCCACAGAGCAGAGGTTATGTGAAAAACACGATCGCTCTGCTGTGAAAATGTAAAAAGTTTTATAAAGGACAATAAGAGACAGGGACCACAGAGCAAAGGTGTGAAAAACACGGTCACTGTCCTGTGAAAATGTGAAAAGTTTTGTAAAGGACAGGAGGAGACAAGGACCACAGAGCAGAGGTTATGTGAGAAACACCTTCACTCTCCTGTGAACATTTAAAAGGTTTAATAAAGGACAAAGGAGACAGGGGCCACAGAGCAGAGGTTGTTATGGCATCACCAAGAGCACCCTCTTACCTTCCGGGATGCCTCTTGAATACCTTTTCTCCCCCATCAGCTCTTTGCATATTCATAACCCTCATGCATATGCACAACCTAGTTTGCATATCCCAGGAGCTATTTTGCATGGCCCCTCCTCGGGGCCGCCTTTTTGGAGCGGGCTGTTTCCCGGCTGCGGTTTTGGCTCCTTCTCTTTGTCACTTCCATTTTTTGGGTCCGGGCCCTCCCTGCCTCCAGAGGTGAGTGCAGCTGGCTGGCAGATCCCAGCAGGGACATTGTTTATTATTTATTATCACTGTTAAAAACAGTGATGGCAGCTATTGCACCGGGCTTCACGAGCCACAGAAATACAGATTGTGTCTTTACAGCAAAGGTACTTTAACACCCCACGTGTAAAACCCGTTTCAATATTTGCAAAAAGCCAATATTATAATGTCTATCTGTACAGATATAACACCATAAATATATAGAATATAATTATATCTATATCATCTATAATTTTCACTGAGGGGAGAGGAGGAAGGAGAGGAGGGAAGAGGCCAGAGACGCCCCAGGGCTGCAGGAATCTTTAAAAACACAAACCAAGGAGCAATGACAATTCCATTCCCACTCACCACCAGGCCCAAAGAAAGGAAAACCAAGAGCCTGGGTCCATCCTCGGAACCTTAATAATAATTTTAGTAATAACAATTGTGCTGAAAATGAAGGATGAACAGATTTTAAACTTCTTCAGCTTGCTCTGCACATAGTTATTGTATTGGTACAATTCTTAAATAAGCATTAAAGTTTTTCACCAAAGTCATTAATATGTCAGTTTTTGGCCCAGTTATTTTAGTAGTTTGAAGTTTAGACAGGTCCTCTCGAGTTCAGGAGCCTCAGGAAATTGAAGGATGAAGGAAACCACAGCCTAAACATTTCTTAATACAGTTCTTCAGCTTTTGTGGCCTTAGGTTTTTCTCAAATGGGACAATAACTTTTCTAGTTGTGAAATTCTGCTGTGGAGGCACTCAGACCCTGCCTGGCCTCTGCTCAGGTGCTGCTTTAGCAGGGCTGGGACAGTGTGATCTCCAGAGGGGCCCGTGCTGGGATCTGTGGGGAGCAGTGGGGACGGCAGCCCTTGGAGGGAGGGAGAGATTCCTGCACCAGGGGACTTTGATCCTGCTGGACAGCTCGAAATATTGGTCCTGTTGGACAGCTCGAAATATTGATCCTGCTGGACAGGATATCAAAATATTGATCATGTTGGACAGCTCAGAATATTGGTCCTGTTGGACAGAATATTAAAATATTGGTCCTGCTGGACAGAATACTAAAATATTGATCCTGCTGGACAGCTCAAAATATGGACAGGATATCAAAATATTGGACAGGATATCAAAATATTGATCCTGTTGGACAGCTCAAAATATTGATCCTGCTGGACAGAGTAGGAAAATACTGATCCTGATAGACAGGATATCAAAATATGGATCCTGCTGGAGAGACTATTAAAATATTGATCCTGCTGGACAGGATATGAAAATATTGATCCTCTTGGACAGAATATCAAAATATTGATCCTTTTGGACAGGATATCAAAATATTGATCCTGCTGGACAGCTCAGGCGTGCTGACTGATCCACCAGTGATTCAGGATAACTTTGCCCATCACTTTTCCAGCCTGTCTGAGCCTGCTCTGCTCTGCTCCCTCTGCAGGGCTGCTGGCCTTTCCCTGGTGCCCCGGCCCTGCCCTGCAGTCCCATTTAACCCCTCACACTCCAGGCTCCTTCAACAGCACATCCAGAGCATCCTGCTCCTGTCGGGCCAGGTCTGGGAGCTGCTGGGCTGGGCTTTAATTCCCCAGATAAATATATAGATAGATAGATAGATAGATAGATAGATAGATAGATAGATAGATATGAGACAGATAGAGACCAGGTGATGTTTCCAGAATAAATCTCCTCAAGATAATGTGTTCTCCAGCACTGGAGACACTTCTGGTGCCAGAGAACTTCCAGACACTTCCAGCTCCGACCTGGCAGGATTCCCTGGGTTCCGTGCACGGCCCCTTGGGATCCATCCCTTCCCTGCAGCTCCTGGTCTGTGCTGAGGTGAAATAAAGTCACAAACCCTGCCAGGACACCTGGTGGGAACCCAAACACCCCCTTGGATCCAGCCCCATCGCAGCTGGAAAGGAATTTTCTGTGGCTGCTCCTCCCTGCCTGCCCTCAC